GGCCCCATCCCTATTTATACAATAAACAGAAGGAAATAAAACCAAGAAAATTAAAGAATGCAGGTGTCGTATTGAGTAATAGGACACACTAATAATTACAAAGACTCCTATTTTAACAACCCAGTGATCAATATTGCCGTCTGTTCCCAAATTAGACACAAGATGGGCTTGTTTATTTCATGAGGCCATTTTCGCAACATTTGTCGACCAGTTGCATGGCCCGGTGTTGTCGGTGATGCACCGTGTTGGTTGCTCGTTGCAGTTATTCCTGGACCTAGCGGCTTGCCGCAATAAGGCAATGAGTTTCTCCGTTTTGGTCTAACTAAGAGGGACAATGGGAGGAACGGCAAGGGGAATGTTGGCTAGCGGGGGAGGATGAGAGTGGGGAAGTGGGATACAAATGGACGTTAACTCAGCTATTAATTTGGGAGGTGGAGTTGACGCGAATTCAATATGTGAGAAGTAAAATTGCACCCTAAAATACTGCAAGGTGTTGAGTGCACTTATAAAAATATTTTATTGTATTGGGTGCGTTTTAACCCAATTAATTTTGAGAAAATTTTTTAAAAAGGCATTTAAATAATCCAACTTTTTTTGGATCATTAAATCTATTAAATTTTAAATCAGGTTATATGATCTAAAGAAGGATTTTAAAATGTAATGAAATAGCGCTAATGTCCCTTGCATTAGAAATCTAAATTAACATGTTTTATTTTGCAATTAATACATTTCAGTTATAAATTAATTACTTTCTGTCTCCATAACATATTTCGGTAAGTTTTTAAATAAAATTTTATGAAAATACAAATTTAAGAATTAATAAGTTTAACTATGCAGTGGGCAAGTTTCAGTTCTAAATTAGTAATTTTATGTTTACAAAACATAGTTACAGTAAGTTTTAAAATAAAAATTAATCACAATATAACTTTAAAAATTAACATGTTCCATTTTACAGCTAACATAATTCAATTTTAAATTAATAATTTTTTGTCTTCATAACACATTTGTAGTAAATTTTTGAATAATACTTAATCGCAATATGACCTTAAAAATTCACTTGTTACATTTCACAATTAACACAATTCAATTTTAAATTCACAACTTTTTTTTTTTTTGGGTCAAACAGAACTTTTTTCCCCTTGACATGAAGTAATTTTTTTAAATAAAACTTGATCGCAATACAACCTTAAAAATTAAGATATCTCATTTCACAGTTAAATATATTTTAATTTTAAATTAACAACTTTTTGTCTTCGTAACACACCTGTAATAAGTTTTTAAATAAAACTTTATTACAATAAAACCTTAAAAATTATGTTCTATTCTGCAGTTAACACGTTTTAACTTCAAATTAACAACCTTCTATTAAGATGAAACTATCATGATTAAAGGAGAAAGATTTAATGTAAAAACTAACTATAACCTCATTGATCAATTTTCAGATTTTGTAATGGTAGATGTCAAGTTTCCTTTATTCATGAGCTCTTACACAACATATGAATAATAGAAAATCCTCATCTATCTATATATGTTTCAAATGAAAGGGGTATCATAGTTATTTTACAAATTTTTAAAATCTGTTTTTTGTTCATATAATCTAATTAAGATTTTGACAAATTCAGCAACCCAAATAAAGATTTAAGTATCTTTTTAAGGGATTTTTCATTATTTTTTATTTTTTCATTAATGTTGTTTTTGTTTATTTGTGTTAAGTTGTATCTAGCTTTCTAAAATATTTTTTCGATAGCACACCCAATATTATAAATAAATTAATTTTTAGTGCACCAAGAGTATTTTTTTTTTCAGTTAGTGATTGCTATTAGAAAAATAGTGCTGGATACCCTGAAAATTAATAAATTTAAGATAATGGGTGCTATTAAAACAAATATTTCAAGATGCTAAATGCAAGTTATGACTTCTTTGGAGCCCGTGAGTAGTACTGACCTCATATGTATACTTGCTTTTTACTTAATTACTGACATTACTCATTGTACACTGTGCTTATCCAGTCTGTTTTAGCAATCACCATTTAAAATTTTATGGCTGTGGTTATCTATGATTATGAAGGGATTCAAATTGTATGACTACTTCCTGTACATAGTTAATTATAAAATGTTTTCCATATGTTTAATCATAATATATTGAGTATGCAGTTATTCGAGGATTTTTAAAAGGATTGCATGGGAGGAAAGCAGATAATTTATATGTAACTTTTTAGGTTTTTTTTTTTTTTTGGGCTGTCATGCTAAGTTCACTGTTTTCTCTTTTGGGTTTTGCGTCTTGTGAGTCATTGTGCTGTAGCGTAGGCCGTCTTCGGAAAGGCAGTATACTGGTGATTATTTTGTTGTTGGTGGAAGGCTGTCACATTAAAGGGTGTATGCGCTTTCTGGAGTTTGTTTTAAAGCTTTCCCAGACTGAATTTATTTATCATCTGCAGACTTTGCTTATTTAAGCGTAAGCATCTGCACTCTACACTTTGTTTTCCCCTACATTTGGGCTGAGGTTTAGGTTCATGTCAAATAATTACTGAGCATTTAGTTTAATGGACTGATATTTTGTCCGTCCATTTTGGAGGTCTCACAACAACTGTTAACTTTTGGGCTAATATATTTAAAATTAATGAAACTTATTATGTACTTTAAATAATGCATGCCCATAAATTAAATTCTAGAACGTACAAATTCTAAGAATTAAATTCAATGTACAAATTCCAATTTTAAAATTGTTGTGCATAGATTTTCCCCCCTCAAATTGATTTAATTAGTCCAAAATATATTATTACTTTCAGTTCTAAATATAAAATTTACGTTGTAGGAGGTACTATTCATTCGTAGAGGCTTTTTTGATAACATTTAATTTTAAGGAAGAAATCATAAAGTTATTGAGTTGACAAATTAAAATTTAAGAAAATTAATGCAACCTGCGCGAGTTGTAATTTAACCCAAAAAAAAAGAAGGAACATATCGCAACTTAAGACGTGTGTTTCTTATTCCCAGCTTTTCCAGTCACATATATGAGAGCCGGTCAATAATTGCTTCCTCCCGTCTTCATTTAAAATAATAATTTATATATATATTATAATTTTTAACTAATAAAAATTTTTAACTAATAACTTTTATCCAGCATAATTTTGATATTTTATAACAAATAAATATTAATTTGCGTAAGGTTGTTAATACGTGTTCATAACTACAGTATTGGAGGAGCGAGAGAGTAATTAGTTAGATGGAGTCAGTCTAAATAAATTAGGCAAGACCGACTTTGGCGACGATGTCCCATTCAGATAATGATGAGTAAAGAATGAAAAAGGAGAAAGAAGCTGGGGACGAAATTTCCCAACCAATCATACCACACCAGCCTACCTCCATGCACCAATCATAATAATTTGTCCACCATCCATGGTGCATGGAGGTAGGAAAATAAAATGTGATGTGAAATGAAAAATTAAAATGACAAATAGAGAAAATTAACTACAGAGATAAAAAAATTAACCAAAAAAAAAAAGCGAAAAGTTTCTCTTCAAATACAGTAAAAAAAAAAAAAAAACAACTTAGGATCCGTACTGAGTTAACTATCACAGCCCAGATGAATCACGTCAAAATAATATTCAATAGAAATAGAAATAGCTAACTCATCATACAAGAACATGCTGATATATACATACAACCCAAGATGAACAGGACAGTCTTGGAGAGGACAAAGCCATTGAGGAGTCGTTGGAATAGGCGTCTCCAAAAACTAGTAGTCTGCATGGTTCTAGACGGAGAACTAATGTTACCGTAGCTAAATGATCTTTTCTTCCTTTTGGCAGTTGAGTTGTAAGAGAAAGAAAGCGTTATAACTTATTTTGATAACAATCCAGAGGAAGGCCATTATATGAGCTAGTATCTTTCAAGTTTGCGTGTGGATTCATTGTACTAAGCAAGCATGCATGTCGTCTTTCCTTTGAATTTTCTTAACATCACTTTACTATTTATTTTAAAATCCTACACATAAGCTATTATACGGTTCGTTCCATCTCTTTATTGTTTGAACTTGTGTTTATCAGCCATGCATCTAATAATAAGGAACTGTCGTTTTGGACCAAATTTACCCCTAAAATCTGAGGCATTAATCAGCCATCTCCTGTAATATGTCTCTTTCTCAGCTCAACTCATCTAAACTACTCGACCAACAACAACAGCTAACAGAGAAGGAAATATTGATATGCTACGATCAAAGGTGTGTTCGCCCAGAGAGGAAAAAGGGGAGAAGGAGATGGAGAAATGAGACAAACGTTGAATGGATATCATGGGTAGATTTCTAGTTGTAAACTATTTTAATAAATGTTGTTTCTAAAAATATTTGAAAGAAATTTTAAGGAAAAAAATATTAAAATCTATTTTTTTTTAAAAATAGTGCTATTATAACCACAAAAAAAAAAAGAAAACACGCACGCACAAGTAATCATGCGTCGACTACAGAAATGATGAAAATGATGGTGGCGAATTGACGCTTTTCCCAATCAAAGACACTTGTTATTGAGATGCAGGTGATTGACGGAGACAATAGCCTGGGGACGAAGAAGCATCCCAATCAACCCCAAAGACCTTAATATTCCATGAGGAAATTAAAGAGATCGAAGTGTCTCCTTTTTTCTTCTTGACCTGGTCAATAATTACTTCTTTGTCTTCATTATAAGAATTCCAGACATGTCCCTTAATATGTTTCATTTAAAAAAAAAAACTAATTTTCGATTAATTTATTTATTTACGTAAAGTTATTAATGTGTGGTTATACTTACAGGATCGAGGAAATAATTAGTTGGTATGACCTTGTCCAAAAATAAGTTTTATAAACTACAATTCAAAGAGCAATAAATAATATGAGACAAAGAATCAAATAATAAATTAGACAAACCAAGTGTGGGGACAATATTGTTCCATATATAGTGGCTCTTCTTCAAGAATAGTACACAGAAACTTGCTACTTCACCACTGAAAAACTGATTACACAGTTAACTAGTGATTAATATCCGCCTGAACTTGTAATTGGAGTTGCTGGCAGTTGAACTTGGCATAGAATAGATAAATCACGAGGCACACCGAGCTTAGTGATGCCAACACCAGAAAATAATTATCCAGGCGACTATCGTTTACGTCATCCTTGATCCAGCTATGAAACATTAATGCAAATAGAATGCTGGAGAATGTCCCGATCCCCAACAACATTTCGATGCACGGTTCCACAAAGTTCTTCATTGACTTGGAGTACAACCTGTCACTCAAGAGACTCTCTAGTCCGCCTTCTGCAAATCCTTCCATTAGCCCTAGCAAGAAATACTGTGGAGTTAAAATCATGATGCTTAAGTTACTGGGGTTGTCATCGTTTGGGTCTTCCTGAGACTTAACCAGAGATAGCCTACGACGCCAAAGTTCCACTTGCCAAGCCACAAAACAGCAAACTACTGAAAAAGACAGCCCATAACCCATACTCAGAAGTGGTGTCACCACTCTACATCTGCTTGGTTGGATTTTTTGGGCCACGAAAGCAACCAGAGATTTGATTGCGAAGAAGAAAATGATGGAAACATTGAAAACACCAAAAAAAAAAAAAAAGAACGCAAGTTGCTTGTTTGCGTAACAAAGTAAGTGTTGCTTGAGGCCGAAACCAAAGAGTATGCGAAGAAGGTGAGCCCCAAATGTATAATGGGATAAAGGCTCTTTACATCCCTCACTTGCTCGGCCGCACCAAACCTTTTCTTCACTTCCATTCCTAATAGCGGCCTTGTCCAAGAAGCAAAAACATGATGGATAACAAGGGATAATTTGAACCTTCATTGTTGTAATCCTGTTCTGAGGTCGGGCACAACAATCTGCGCTTCTTAATAGCCGCTTTAAAGACCCTATAAATGGTAATAAGAGAGCTTCCTGGGCGATTTTCTTCAGGATAATGCAACAAACTCCTCAGGATGAATAATAAACACGAAGCTCCCATGATCAAAGACGAAACTTTGAATGCTTTTAACCAAGTTTTTCAGACTAGGAACACGATGGCTATAACGGAACCGATCATGGAAACAATATACCACCAAAAATTAATAGTTCTGCTGTGATTTTTATCCGATCTACCTCTCTCTTCTGATGATCTCAGTTGATAATAAAAATATACTCTTAAAGTAGGTTCTTTTTCCTCCTTGCCTAATGCAATGAGTACTATTGCGAAAATCAAAGTCACGATATTCGGGTCTGCTTCGCGAACCCATAGCAGCACCAATCCCTACAATTAAAAATAATACTTATTTTACTTGATCTCTTAAAAGTCTTAATTTTGGTTACTCTTTTAATAAAAATAATTTATAAAAATGAGTGATCCCCAATAATAATTTTTAACTCCATGCAATTATGAAGAATACACACACGCATACCCCAAAAGTGAGTCAACTCGAAAGATGCTTGATTTTATATACAGCCACTTAATCATTTGATGTTGTATTTCAAGACCATAACTAAGCAATAAACAAATAATCATAACTTTAAAGTACGAACTTATCTAATATCATCTTTCATGATCTGGAAGCTTTCCAAAAAAAAAAAAAGCCTTAGAGTAGAAGACTAAGTCTTTTCATAAGGGATTGTAGGGTCTTATATTAATGACAGCATAGTAAATAAACTGCACAAGACCAAGTGATCAACAGTGGACTCCTGAAATGATGAAAATGGTACTCCTCCGGTCTTATATGTAGGACCGGATGTAGGATCGGAGGAGTAGCAGCGAAGTGACGTGCTTCCCTATCGATGACGAGGTGGCACAATCACAGTCACCTACTCTTATTAGGCTGGGGACGAAGAAGCTTCTCGAAGTTCACCAAGAAGACTAGGCCAATAATTACTTCTTCCCATCCTTTATCATACGGAACATGTTGCTTAATATGTATTAACATGTTAGATTTAAAGTAATTTTTTAAAAATATTATTTAATTTCTTCATCAATTACAAACTTTTTAACTAATAAATTAAATTTTGTCAAGCATAATTTTAACAATTTATGAGAAAAAGTTTGTTAATGTGTTTATAACTACAGGATGGAGGGAGGAATTAGTTAAATGTGGAGTCTGTGTACATAAATTAGGCAAGACCAAGTTTGGGGACAACGTCTCAATCACGTAAGGAATGAGAAAGGAGAAAGAAAAACCAATCATACCACATTAGCCTACCCCCGTGCATCATACATGGCAGACAAAGCTTAAATATTAATCAATAATTATGCTGTCTGTGGAAAAGGCTTCACACGTCACAGAGTTAGCGTCGCATTTCATTTAATTTTCATGGGGCTATATTAAGATTCAATGATTGGGCTTGACCACTTTTATTATAATTTTCATGGGGCTATATTAAGCTTCAATGATTGGGCTTGACCATTTTTATTAGACACTAACTCTGGTGCTACACATAAGAGATAGTTGAATGTATAAGAGCTACACATAAAATCGCAATTCACTTTATACCCTAAATTTATAATGTGTTATCAATATTGAATGTAAAATATTTCCACCCAATGTAGTTTCGATGTACATAATTGAATAATGGTAATTTAAAAAAAAATCAACACACATTTGTTGCAAATAACTAACTTAGCTAATTTTTTTAATCTCTTCAAATTAGTTATCTAAGTCTTATATTAAGAACCAAAAATAGTATATTTTCACTCCTCCTCCTTCCCCCAATGAGATATTGCCACATGTACAAGAGATCCCTCACATAGAGACTCTCTCATGTAAGGGTGAGCAAAATCAAACCGAAACCGAAATAAAAAACTGAACCGAACATAACTTAATTCGTTTTTTTTTGGTTTAGTTAATTTGGTTTTTATGTTCTATTTTGATTTTGATTTTTGGTTATTTCGGTTATTGGTGCTGCATCCGGTGTTTGTAAAAAAGATTCGGTTAAAATCGATTAACCGAAATATAGCTTAAAAGGATATCGTATGGATCATGTTTTCTCCCTTCATATCTTCCTAACTTTCTTCAGAACTCCTGTAGCAGAAAAACTAAAAGCTAAAATCTAAATCTCACTTCTCATTTTTGAATTCGGTGCCCTAATCTCTACTCTCCATTCTCCGGCAGTCCTCTCGTTCACGACAATACTCGCGGCACCTCCTTCCTCAATTCAAACCTCACGACATGACATGATTCTTGCAGATCATCAATTATGGCGTTCATATAGACAATCACGGTCGGCCTCCCTCGACCCTCATACTCTGCTCCCCCATCTGAAACTCAAGCCCTATGCGCTCACTAAATCATTGTTCACACCTTACCTTCTCTATGGCTCATGCACTGGTCCCCAAATTAGTTAGTTGGGTCCGATATTAAGAACCGGAGCCAATACTTAATTGTAACATATGTTGTATAATCTCTCTGAAAAACATATGCATATCTAGATTATAATCAGTTTTTAAGCAAGACAAATTAGTTTTAAAAAAAATGATAAATATTATATTTTAAAATTAATCATTTAACGGTCAAATGTTCTCAAATTGTTGGACTGAGTGAGTGTTATTTGCAGAACAATATCATGGATATAAGCTATACACGCGCACTACTGACTCAGGTGCACATGTGGCTTATATATAAATTACACCATGTGACATGCACACTCCAACAAATTAAGGAGCATCAAAACCACTGTAAATAATAAATGAGCAGCTGGCTATAACAAATAGAAACATATTGCGCTACAAGTTACTTTAATTCACAGCTGAACTGAGAACACAACTAACTATTGATTAATATCTATCTGGACTTGTAATAATTCATCCATCCTCTCGGTAATAGTCTCTTGGATGGTTTCTACCGGAAATACAAATTGGGGTCTCTGGAACTTGAACTTGGCATAGAATATATAAATCCCAAGATACACGAAGCTGAGTGATGCCAATAGCAGAAAATACTTATCCAAACGACTGTGGTTTATGGCATCCTTAATCCATATATGAAATACTAAGAGTACAAACGATCACTCGGGAAATTCTCAAGCCCACCCTCCGCAAATCCTTCCATTAGCCCTAGCAAGAAATACTGTGGAGTTAAAATCATGATGCTTATGGGAATCTTATCGTTTGGTTTTTTTAGAAACCTAATCAAAGACAGCCTACGACATTCCACTTGCCAAGCTGCAATACAGCAAAGTACTAAGCAAAACATCCCAACACCCATACTCCAAAGTGGTCTCACCACTTTATATCTTGATTGGATTATTCGGACCGCAAAAGTAACAAGAGATTTGATTGCAAAGAAAACCATGATAGGAACATCGAAACCGCCAATGGAATAAGAACTCAAGTTGCTTGCTTGCAGAACAAAGTAAGTGTTACCAGAAGCAGAAACCAAGTTGTATGCGAAGAGGGTGATTCCTAAGGGAATAATAAGATAAAAGTTCTTGGCGTCTCTCACTTGCACGACTGTGCAAACCTCTCCTTTTCCTACTTTCTCTTCACCATCGGAGTTGTTCATCATAGCAGCCCTGTCTAAGAACAACAAAAACGATGGATGACGTGGCAACAAGTGAACCTCGCCATTTTCTTTCTCATAAAAGAGATCTTCTGATAAACCATCTGAACCTTCATTGTTATAACCCTGTTTTGAAGATGGGTATGACAATTTGCCCTTCTTAATGGCTGCCTTAAAGACCCTGTAAATGATAGTGAGAGAGCTTTCTGAGGGTTTCTCTTCAGGATAAAAGCAGAAAATGCCGATGATAAATTGACAAACTCAATTATTTTTATATATTTTGATATCTTTTATATGAGTTTTGTCAGCTTAATTGGTCCCTTTTTGCCTTAATTGATTTATTTTATTTTATTTTGAATTATTATTTTATAGGGGCAAAATTGTCATATTTTGATTTAATTGTGACTAATTGATTTTTGAGGACAATTAATGTTACCTCATCCTTGAATTTTGCTTGCAGGTTCTTGGAAGATTTAAAAATTTAAGAAAAAGAAAAAGAAAATTAAAAGAAAATTAAAGTTAAAAAAAAAGAAAAAAATAATAATAATAGGGGGACAAAACGCAACGTTTTGCCCCACCCTAATAATTCCATTCATCATCATCATCAGCTGGGGGGAACACGCCGAAGAGAGAACACAAGCGCTGAAATAAAACGCACACACACACGCGACGCTGAACGAGCTGAACGAGGCGGAAGACGCAAGCGAACAGAGCACACACACGCGGGAGGCGCGGCTGGAGACGCGACGCACACGAGAACCAGCGGCGCACAGGGACCTGTGAGTGAGACAGAGTGACAGCACCATTCTTCACCTTCGTCTTCTCCTGGGCACGACAGAACGAGCGACGAACAGAGGCAGAACAGAGGAGACGGCCGTGCGAACAGAGTGACAGCAGCGTGAACAGAGTCGACGGTTCTCTTTACTCCTCCTTCAATATCCTTCATGGCTGGATACGGTGGATTGCTGGTGGCAGCGAATTTGATGGCAAACCGTGGCTAATTCATAATTCTCTAATTCAACAATAATGGCAGGAGCTTGAATCATCAAAGGGGAGTTTTAGTTGCTTTAATTTCCTATTCAATAATTGTTTAATAATTCCTAGGTCTTACGATAGTTTTTCTGATTATTGGGATAATTGTTATGCTTAATCTGACTATATTTGGGGATTATTGTGACTGGATTATTGTTTAGCATTTGACATTGGGCTGTTTATAGCTTTGATTTCAATTATAATGTTGTGGTTATGACATTTATATTGATTTTGGAGTTAATATATTGTGATTTTCTAAGGTGGCTTAAAATCTTGGATCATATTGTCTCTTGCTAGCTTTAATTCTATTGTTTTGGATTTAAGAGTTTAATTAAGCATTGGTTTTTAGTATCCTTAATTTCATTTTACTATTCTGGTTGCAGTTAGTAATTTGAATTTTTGGGAAAATATTTTGAGGCAATTCGAGGTGGCTCGGTTGTTGGACTAAAAGCTTAATTATAATTCTTAATTCATTGTTTTAACTCCCACATCTTTTAGAGTGATGATTGCCTGAATTGTTGAATTGGAGGATTGATTTTTATCAGTGTTATTTGTGTGTCTCATTTTCATTTCTTCAATCTCCATTCATTTAATCACTTTTATATAAAAACAAAAAAAAAGTATTTTAATTTCAATTTGATTTGTAGTATTTAATTAACAGCTTTTCAAAATCAAAAATCTCTTTTTATAGTTTAGGTTACTTGCATTTATTTATTAGGGTTTAATTTTGTTTTTGGCTCCTCAAAGTGAAACGACCCGAGTTTTGCACTATATTGTATTAATTCGGTTAATTTTTGAAGTAACCCCAAAGCGACAATTAAGGGAAGTTTAACTTCAAGTGGCGCCGTTGCCGGGGAGCCAAGAAATTGGTTCTCTAGTAATTAAGTGTCAAGTAACCTTGATTGGGGTTCATTTGTTGAGCCTTTTTAGTTTTCATTTTTGTTAGTTTTTGCATTTTCTTTAGTAGTTTGCATTTGTTTCTTTTGATTTTTCATAGCATTTTTTTTCCTTTGCATAAAAAAAATTTCAAAAATACAACTAAAAATCTTGATTTTTCATTCATTGCATTTTTCATTCTCATACACATACACTTGCATTGCATTGCATTCATCTGTTTTCTTTTGCTTAATTGCTTCTGGTTGATTGATTGTTTATGCCAAGAAAGGGTAGGTCTAAAACCCTAGTTCCTTCCAATCTTGAGCTTCAAAGTTCTTTAAGGGAAGTTAGACAAGACCAAAGGGTAGAAAGGACTAGTGGGGTTGAACTAGACAATTTAACTGGTCTAGATTTGGTGGTTGACTTAGTGACATAATGGAAACAGTTAATATTCTAATGGTAACAACAATGGTGGTAATGACAGAGGGGGCAATGGACATAATGGGGAGCATGATAGAGTAGGAGAGAATAATGGAGATAACCCTAGAAGAAGATCCATTAGGGAAGCCACTACTTCTGATGCAAATTATGATCCTTTTAATGTTGCATGCCCTAATGTTGATGTTAATTTTGAGATTAAAGGTCCACTGCTTAATTATTTGCCTAAATTTTATGGTTTGACAGGTGAGGACCCGTACAATCATCTGAAATCTCTCTCTATGGTATGTGCTAGCATGAAGCCGGTTGGGGCTAATCTGGATGAGGTTCTTTGGAAGGTATTCCACTTGTCTCTGGAGGGCAAAGCGCAAGAATGGTACATGAGCTTGCCTAGTTATATGGCAGATGCCTACCATAACTGGAACAACCTCAGAAAAGCATTCTTGGAGAAGTATTTCCCTGCTTCCCAGACTTCTACATTGAGAAAAGAGATCTACTTTGCAAAGCAAGATTATGATGAGTCACTTTATGACTACTGGAACCGTTTTCAGGACTTACTTTCTAGATGTCCACACCATCAGATTCCAGATGAGCAGTTAGTCCAATACTTTTATTATGGACTTAAGACCCAAGATAAGGGGATGTTGGATGCTGCTTCTGGGGGTTCTCTCATTGATTTAACTGCTGAGGAGGCATGGGAACTTATCAAGAAAATGGCATTGAACCATCAACAGTATAGCATCAGGGAGTCTAAAAATATCAATGCAATGCATGCTAATCCTTCTTCAGTCCACATTCCTCAATTGGACACATTCACTTCTCAAATTGCTGCTTGGACTACACAGTTAAATAAGCTTGCATCTCACACTCCCCCTACTGACACTCGGAATCCTAATTCCATGGAGATGACTGCACCTAGTTGTGAGCATTGTAACTCTGTTATGCACATCTCTGCTGCTTGCCCTCATAGATATGAGGAAGTTTCTGCCATGTATCAAGGAAGGGCCAATCAATCTAAGCAATGGAACTCATACTCAAACACATATAATGAAGGATGGAAAGCTCATCCAAATTTCCGATGGGGAGGAGGTGACAATAGGCAGGTTCAAGAGGGGCTTCAAGGGAATATGGTTCCTCAAGGGCAATCTTACTATGAAGGGTTACAAGGAGAATCTTCGAGAGCCATGTCTACCCCACAACAATCACAGTCTAAGGATGATGAGCGGTTCTCTCGAATACTCAAGGGCATTGAGGCAATGACTGAGCACATATCTAATTCTGAAGCTAAATCTGAAGCTAGATTTGCAGCCCTAGAGAATAGGATGGAGCAATGGGAAACTAGAACCTCTAATTTGACTTCTTATGTCACTAAGTTGTCAAATGGTGTGAGTGAACAACAAGCTAAGACTAGTGGTTCAATGCCTTCCAACACGGTGATAAATCCTAAATCTTTGAATGCAATTACATTGAGAAGCGGTAAGGAAATTGGTGCTAAGAAAATGCAATTCAAAGAAGATGAAGAGGGTGAAGAACCGGTTGACAAAGAGATAGAAGTTGAGTCTCCTCCTTCTAAAACCACTCAAGACATTCCCAAGGCTACTCAAGAGACCTCCATTCAATCCAAAGAGCCAATAAAGAAAGGATCATCTTCCAAAGGTGATGAGGTAAATATTTCTGACTTGCCTTTTCCTCATTCATATCTTATGAGTAAGAAAGTTGTTGAAAAGAAAGATAATGATGAGCTTTTTGAAATGTTTAGCAAACTTGAGGTTAATGTGCCATTACTTGATTTGATTAAGAAGATGCCTAAGTGTGCTAAGTTTCTGAAAGATCTATGTACAAACAAGAGGAAGTATAGGCATAGTGAAAGAATCCAACTGGGGTCTAGTGTTAGTGCTATTTTCAAACCACAGCTGCCTATTAAGTGTAAAGACCCAGGTTCCTACACTATTCCCTGTACCATAGGCAAAACAAACATTTCACATGCCTTACTAGACTTAGGTGCAGCCATAAATGTTATGCCTACCTCTATCTATGAGAGTTTGGGTATTCATGCCTTGAAAGACACCAGTGTTGTGCTAGGTCTAGCTGATAGGACTGTGAGACATCCTAAGAGCTTTCTTGAGGACGTTCTTGTGCAAGTGAAGGGTCTTGTGTTCCCAGCTGACTTTTATGTGCTAGATATGACTGATGAGATTAAAGCTGATAGCACTTTGATTCTAGGAAGACCTTTTCTTAGAACAGCCCAAACCATAATTAATGTGAAAGACGGGATCATTATCATGGGCTTTGGGGACCAACAGATTACCTTCAACATTTCTGATGCTATGAGTCAAGGTTATGCAGATTGCTCTTACTTGGGTGTTAATTTGATTGATTGTGCTGTTAATGATGTTGATGATTTGCATGAATCTGATATGCATGAACATGACTGGTATTGTGAGATTGCTGAGCATGATGATGCATTTACTTGTTTATCTACCCCTCATTCTTCTTCTTTTTGCTCATGTTATGGTGACGTGGTGTGTGTTAACTGTTTAGAAGTTGATCACCTCCTTTCCATTTCTCATGATTTTGATGCATCATCTTGTCTTAACTGTGATTCTTCCTTGAACATTACACTTGATGATAGCCTTGAGAAAGGCGAGTTTGTTGATTCTGCAGGTACTGATGATAAAGGAGCTGTTACACAAGCTACACCGGTAGCTTCTCCTTTGAGTGGTGCTGGAACATTAGAAGAGGATAGCAACAAGCTTGCTACTGACTTAGTCACTTCTAATCCCACTCTTTCTTGTGATTTACTTAATGTTTCTGTTGATAAGATTGATACCGATCCTTCTTTTTGTAGGTCATCCAAGAATGGCACTGAGTTGGGAAGTGAAGGACATACACATCATGATGAGCTTATATCTCCTTCCCTAAGCCATATGGACATGCCGCTTGCATTGAATGCACTTGACATAAAAGAATTAGTTCCTTCTGTTGTGCAACCTCCTGATTTAGAACTGAAACCCCTCCCCTCTAATTTGAAATATGTCTTTCTTGCTGCTGATTCTAAATTGCCTGTTATTATTTCCAGTTTTTTGAATAGTTCTGAAGAAGAAAGATTGATTTCTGTGTTGAAGAGTCATAAGGGGGCTATAGGATGGTCTTTAGGGGATATTCCAGGAATTAATCCCTCGGTTTGCACACACAGGATCCTTTTGAATGAAGGGTCCAAGTCAGTTAGGCAACCACAGAGTAGATTGAATCCTCTCATTCTGGATGTGGTTAAGAAGGAAGTCTCAAAGTTGTTGAGTGCTGGGATCATCTATCCCATATCAGACAGTGAGTGGGTAAGTCCGGTACAAGTAGTATCAAAGAAGAGCGGTATCACAGTAGTGAGAAATGAAAATGATGAACTGATTCCAACTAGGGTTCAAAATGCTTGGAGAGTGTGTATAGACTATAGGAAGTTGAATGATGCTACGAGAAAAGACCACTTTCCATTACCTTTTATAGATCATATGTTGGAGAGAATTTCAGGAAAGTCTCACTATTGTTTTCTTGATAGTTTTTCTAGCTATTTTCAGGTGCCTATCGCTCCTGAAGATCAGGACA